TCGCAGGTTGGCGAGACCGTGTGGGTCGGTGGGTCTGCGACGTCGGAATGTGCGCTGATGAACTTCCTACTTGCGACGATATGACTGAATTCATCTAGGGCATTGATAATCGTAGCCTAGGAGAGCGTAACATCACCAGCAACTGTGATTACTCCCGACAATCCCATCCACAGCAACAGCGGTTTTGAGGGGAGCAGTAGCAGAAGCACATAGTTTGTGGGATGGTATCGATTGAAACCACGCCAGAACAGAGACAAATGGAAAATGGCGCAGCAGATTTGAATTAAGAACCCAGCATCAGAGTACAGAGGCTGGAGAAGAGAAGTTGGAGCATTCTAACCAGCAACAGTGCTGCTTTTATATGTCAAGAAATTGCCAGGAGGACAACATGGCTTCACGGCCCAATGAATACGTTCACATTGCGCTGTGCAGCAGGTGCTGCGATGTTCTGCGTTGCTGTGTCCTGTCAAAACAGGACTATGTGCGGGTCAGCTGTTGCACTAAAAATGGCTGTGCAAAAGCTCAAATATTTGACGATGGAAGCTTAAGGGGTTGGGCCAGGAGGAAGACCAGAGGGAATCAAAAGGAGAATTGATATTCGGGGAAAGAGGACAGTCGAGCAAGAATATCGTTAAAAAAGTGTGCATGAATCCTCGGCATGCCAGGGCGTAGCTCGGCATGATGTGAAAAGAATTACGCTGCACTGTAGCCGGCAGCAACTGCAACTGTGTCCTGTCCGGATGCAGCTACATGTCGGTCAGCTGCTGAGCCACATGAGACTGGATGGAAAAATGCAGAATTCAAAGGAGATACATGCAGAGGATCAAGAGAGGAAGTCGAAAGGGTTTGAATAAATGGAGACAGAGATAACCACATACAAAGAATCACCGAGGATTTCATTAAAGAACGGTTAATAGGGCCTCGCTTCGCTCCGGCAGGTAAGAAGCTCGTTCAAATCATGAAGTGAAAAGTTTTAGGGACTAAAAATCATGATACATGTTCGCGCGACGTCCAGGATAAATAGGAATAGATGAGAAAGGAAGGTGTCCGATGAGTCAGGGACGCAGATTTATCCCAACATGCGCAGAAGCGCGATCAGACGATGTCGGCAAGTGAGGTGGACAGTGTTGGATGGGAATTGAAGATTGATTAATCAAGCTTAGAAATGGATAGAGAGTGAAGGAGGAACAATAAGGTAGGGGTTTGTCATTGATGACCACGAGTAGCCGCAGTTGAAGAGAAGATGAGAATATAATTTGAGAACAATGAGTTGAGATTTAGGGAATTTGATCTTGATGACCACTCACAGCCATCAGCGAACCCCAGACCAAGCGTAGCATGAAGTGTGGGAGAGGGAGGAATTGGGGCCTAGAAAGACGGAGTCATTGGCTTTTTTTATGCTCGGGATAATTCCGGGACACTGCGTGAACACAACTGCGGCACAGCCAGAAATTTGCTGCGAGAAACCGCGTATTTCTGCGGAATGACTGCGAGATATTCTGAGGAACAGTTGGGAGATCCGGTGAATGGCTATTAATCCAAATTCAGCTTGGAGAACAGAAAATTCTCCATGAGATGTCGACTGAATGGGATAGGTCTGCCATTCCCGTGTGAGTAAATTTTCTCGTGCTGTCAGCTGCCATTCTGTGGCGAAGTTTCCGCAGTGCGTAGTTGGCATAACAGGTTTAGGTTCGAATCGAAAGGTGGAAGAAAATGATGATTTGGAGGACAAGAGGGAAGCAAGTAGGATGGAGATAGACCTATATGGAACAATTGCACCGCCGACGAGGCATTTGCTTAAAGAACAGTAAATAAATCCAACAAGCTCATAATATTGATCGCCCACCTTTGCAAAACTTTTTTGATGGCTGTGCTGCCGCAGCTTTAGGGCTCAGATTTCCCTGAAAATTGGATTGAGACGACTCAGACGAGCCTTGCATGTCATTAGCTCCCTGGAATATTTGCAGACTTTTTAAGGAATGCGAAGGGAGCCTAGAAGATGCCGAGAAGAAAACCCAAATTACCCACCTTTGCAAAAACTTTTGGCAGGCGATCAATGCCATCGAAATTTACCAAAATCCGGAGAACATAGGGATGGGTCGGGTCGCTTCTAGCCAACTCCCCATTCAAATTGGCATCAATAACAATGCATCTAACATTCTTAGATGTATCGACCCTTTCTGGCTCGCAGCATATGTAGCACAAGTGACCACGACACGCCCAAAACCAAAAATGGTTGGATTTTGGACGGCTAAATTCCCAAATTCTTCATTGACCCAAAGGAAGAAAGCTTTGGAATATTAATACCTGTGCTGAATGTATTTAACCCCACTGCAATATAGCTGCCAGTAGGGTGTCGAATTGTGCCCAGCTCTGCAATGAATTCACTCAAGCATTTTGGAGGTCCATTGGGCAGGTTTAATTCACATTATCCTTCACAAATCTCTTCAAAGATTTTGCACTGATTCCCGCTATCTACATTAATAGTGGGTTTTGTACCCAGCTCAAAAAAAGTGATCGAAACCGGATTTTCACTCCCGTATTGGACAACATGATGTCATTTTTTCATTTGGATGCAATCTTCGACCGTGACACTCCTTTCCGTCGCCTATCAGAACACTGTTCTTAAACTCACCTCAAGTCTCTCCCCCTCCCGTCCCCATCTCCCCAACAAAGCCTCACCTGCTTTCAAGCCCGTCCAGGCTCACTATGTCTCTCTATGTCGAAGGCTTGCCTGCTGCTAGCGTGTCTTTCCAGCGATGACCAAAATGCTCTTTGTCTTCGACGTTCTGTCAGGGTCTCGCTGGAGTAAGGGGCAACCGCTACCCCAAGTTTTTCGTCCTATTCGAGCCTTGTCGAGTGCAATATTTCCCATGGGTCGCAAACCGATGTCGTGCATGGCCTCGACTGGGCCGCCCACGTCGGTGAATCTCTCATCGGTTCTGGCTATCGCCTCGACAGTACTTTCGATGCATGGTGTTTTTTCTCGTATCCCACTCACCCGATTAATGGTCCCTTTTACTCCTCGTTGATGACTGACTTTTTTTTGGGCCTGAGCACGTCGCCTCCACCTTCCTCGGCGCTTGGCAATCCAGGTAGGCTGATCTCTTGCCCCCTTCCCCCTCCTCGGGTCACTCGCTGTTCTCCTCGCTCTCCGATCCTACCCCGCGGATGCACACTCTGAACTCGCAACACGACAAATGAGCGGTTGCATTTGGTTCTTGGGCATATCTTCCATTCTATCTTCCCCTTGCATCGGCGATCCTGTGAGTCGATAAACTATAATCTTTGAGCCATAGCCCTAATATATAGACTAAATCCCATGGCGCTAGCCATAGGAAGTGTTGTCTAAATCCACGACGCTAGCCAAGCAGTTGGCTAGTGTCATGTACGTAGAGAAGCGGCTGCGGGTGGTCCTTTTGGGGGCATTCGGGGGGGTACGCGATATATTTGGCATCTGATGGATGCAATAAAATCTATTTGGTCTGATGGATGCAATAAATCCTTTGACCAAATGATCTGTTGAAATTGTTGATATTGATGGGGCCGTTTTTGGATCCTCCGCCATATTCTCACGCTTCTCGCCTGGCACAACTGCATCCGTCATTTATGTCCGTCCTTACATTATTCCGTGCGCTTACCTCCGCCTGCGCCCGACCACCCGACCATCCCCGCATTCGCTTGCGTGCATTATTGCACCCGCCCTCCCATCATTCCCTCTGCCTGCGCCCGACCACCCGACCATCCCCGCATTCGCTTGCGTGCATTATTGCACCCGCTCTCCCATCATTCCCTCCGCCTGCGCCCGACCACCCGACCATCCCCGCATTCGCTCGCGTGCATTATTGCACCCGCTCTCCCATCATTCCCTCCGCCTGCACCCGACCACCCGACCATCCCCAAATTCACTCGCGTGCATTATTGCACCCGCCCTTCCCTCCGCCTGCGCCCGACCCGACCATCCCCGCATTCGCTTACATGCATTATTCCACCCGCCCTCCCATCATTCCCTCCCTCCGCCTGCGCCCGACCACCCGACCATCCCCGCATTCACTGCATTACTGCACCCGCCCTCCCATCATTCCCTCTGCCGCACCCGACCATCCCCTCACCAAGATATGTGTTTGCTTTTGATGCCATTGCATATTTTTTTCCTTTTTCCCGCTGTTGGATTTAACATGGATTTTTCCAATCTTAAGATTTACATTCTGGCTTGTTTCCCGCCCAAATGACACATTGTTTACCTGCGTTTATTTTCAACATACTACTGCTACTGTGCTTTGGGTATGGAGATCTGGTTATTGCAGCTCTCGTAGAGACTCCCGAGGTCGAACCAGACTTCCGAGAGGTACGGGTTGATGCGGATCGCGCGAGAGTATGCGTCAAGCGCGTCGCGGTATTTGTTGATCTGAAAGTATAAGACGCCAATGGAGCACCAGAACGTTGGGTTCTGGCCATCGCGATAAACCACCTGCTGATATTATGCATAGACGCGCGAGAAAAAGAACAGTCGGGCGTAATAGCTTCCAAGCTCTTGGAAGGAGGAACCGTCCTGATGGTACAGCCACCCAAGCTGCGGAAGGACTTTGGCGTGGGTTGTCGGTAACGACATGTTCGTACGCTTCCTTGGCACTGACAGGATTACATCAGAGCCAGAACACAAAGAACGGTGACATACATCTTTCTGTTGTTCGTAAACGTGGCCGATTTGGAACCAAATGTCGCCATGTGCGAGTGGGCTCGGGGGATTACGGAGAATGCGGTCGAAGCATTGGAGCGAGTCTTCGTATTTGCCTTGTTGCTTTGAAGGTCAAAAACACGTTGAAAGAATTTGACAGCCTAATCCGGAGGAAGAAAAGTGAGTGCCATTCTTAGCTTTCCTTTGGTATTTTTGGGTTTTCACACCACTAAGAATGAAACGATGCAAGTTGCCAAAACAAACGAGCAAGAAAACGCCCCCTAAAAAAAATTGGTCAAAAAACCCGTAAAAATGTCAGAGATGTCATTACTCGGATTCGAACCGAGACCTCCCCGATTAGTACTCATGGTTCCTCTCGCACATACAACTGGGGCGCCGCAACCGTTCGGCCATAATGACATTTTCTGGTTTGTTGTCTGTTCTGAGGAGATCTATCTCACATGTAGATAGATGTAAATATAAAATATACATTCAGTCACCCGTACCAAAGACAACTAGTGAGATGCGATGTAGTTACATTACACGCCAGAAAGAAGAGAAAAAGATAGTATTAAAATCGACGTTTGAATAGTTCATAATAGGTCGCCATCCCTTCCATCATCCAAGTCACATCGAGGACAGCCGCCTCCCAAACTTCCAACTCCGATCGTTCGCCGCTGGAAACCGCACGACCCCAGAAGTAAAGTGAAGCAAGAATACTTAGCGTACCGTTGACTCCCCACTGATAAAGCGGACCCCATTCCCTCCCTGCTTCGCCATAAGCCTCGATGCTCCACCTCCCGTCCGTTTCTTTTTTCCTCCAGCTCGGCTGGAGGGAATCCCACCACTGCTGCCACTGCGCAGCATACACGTGCGGGTCCGTCACCCTCGGTTCTACTCCTCGTTTCCCCCGTTGATTCTTCGAGATCCAAGTCGACACTTGCTCGGGGCGGTGTTTGTTGGGCAGATTTGTCGGCCCGTGCTCGAAACGTGACGCATGCTCAACACGCGTCCAGGCGGCGAGCAGCGCGTGATAGTGACACCCAAGATCGGCGCGCGTTATCTCGTTGTGTGCGTTGACAAACCAGTCGGGAGCATCGGGCGGGCATGGTGGTAACGTTGACAAACCTGCCACCGCACCGCTCGGCGTGCTTGGCGCTGGTGCTGCCATAGCAACGTGGACCTGCGCCGCATGCGACAACGGCGCCAGGATAACCTGCACCTCAGAGTCGCCTTCGGATGTTGGGGGCGACGCACTGCTGGTGGGCGTCGACGACTCGACAGTAGGCGAGGCTGGTGAAGGGGACGTGGACGGAAGTGGCTGCGATGGGGTCAGCGTCGGGGACGCGTCGTGAGCGGGTGTTGACGGGGTGAGTGGGGGTGCTGATGGTGATGAGGACGTGGCCGCGGTAGCTGACGCCGAGGCACTAAGAGCCTCGGGGTCCGGGGTATCTGTCTCCATGTCAACCTCGCCAGCACCCGCCCCAGCTCGTGTGTGGCGCCCAGACCGGCGGGGTGGACCCGCCAGGGTTGACAGCGTCCGCGGCTTGGGCTGTCGGGCCCGCTCCTTTGCCAGCGGCTCAGTTACTGCCTTCCACTCCGACCTGAGTGTCTCCAGTGCAGCCGCGTTACGCCGAAGATTCGCCTCGCGTTCCTCCCGCGAGATATGCCAAGGGTTGCGGGCCGGCGGCGGGGGTGGGGACGGGGACCGCCAAGGGAACTCCTGATCGTCCTGCTCCTCCTCTTCCGCATCGTCGTCATAGCCTTCATCTTCGGGGCTGTGGTTGTCGACAGTGGTGGCGAGAGCCTCGGCGAGCGGAGGTTGTGAGGTGGCGGGCGGCGGGAACTCGGTCGTGGCGGGGGGAGTAGTGGCAGCGAGCTGGGGAGGTTGTGATGTGGTGGGCAGCGGGAACTCGGTCGTGGCGGGGAGAGAGGTGGTAGCGAGCGGGGAAGGTTGTGACGTGGCGGGCGGCGGGAACTCAGTTGTGGCGGGGAGAGAGGTGGCAGCGAGCGGGGGAGGTTGTGACGTGGCGGGCGGCGACGGGGACTCGGTTGTGGCGGAGAGAGCAGTGGCAGCAAGGGGGAGATGCGGTGACGTGGCGGCTCCAGGCGGTGGAGGCGTCGGCTCAGTGGCGGGGCCCTTATTTTTCTTCTTGATCGACTTTGAGGCGACCGCCGATTTCTTCGCAGGCTTTCCCATGGATTGCGCCTCGAGCTTGCGCTTCTTCCGCGTGCGCACCGTCTCCTCCTCATCACAACTAGCGTCGCTGTCAGAATCGGAGTCTGAGTCCGAGTCCGAGTCCGTCTCCGAGTCGGACTCGAGTCCGTTGTTGCTCCTGATAGTGTATTTGGCAGTGCTCAAGTCGGTGGTATTTGGGAGCGCAGCCTCCATGCAGTCCTGTGGGCCTGTTTTACGATCAGTTAGATTTTTGTCAACTCGCTAGGAAATTCCAACGCACTGAAAGCGGTCTTCAAATACTCTACCATGAAATCTTGGACATCCGTGCTGAACCGGCGTTTATCCCATTGCGCCCAGTGATGGCCCAAGGCTGTATTATTCCGCCCGTAGGAGAAGCTAGTACTATTGTGAGTCTGCATTCCACTTTATGACTTTGAGTGACGCACTGCAACGAGCGAAGTTCGCCTCCATACGCTGGCATTGGTCCTCCAAGCATAAGGGTGGGGTGCAGGCCAGTGTAAGCATTTAGTCCCTGTAGAATCGGGGCCACGAAGTCGGCGACGGCTTGTATACACCTGCGATGCATCAGCAGTAACTCATGCATAACCATCGACACTTACTTTTGGCGCGCTTCAGGCGTTTGGGCAGGCGGCTCCTGCAGCGCTTTGACGTATGCTTTCTTCGCCTCCGCTGCATCCGCCTTCGCCCTCGCCCCAATTTCTTTCTGCTCTTCGAGCGGTAATGCAGCAAACACCTCCCTAGCTACTTGCGCGCGAAACCCGGCTTTAGGCTCCTTGGTGCGCTCCGACGCCAAACCATTCGCCGCGCGGTCCGCCTCCCATCGCTCGGTCACTATGGGGGCAATTTTGGTGGTGTACGCTTCATGCATAAATTGCTGATAAGCCTGGCGTGCTTTTGGCGGTGAGGACAGTCCAGAGAGTTTCGCAAGAAGAACTGCGTAAGGGTCTTTCAGGGGGTCAAGGCCGGCCGTGCTGCGGTGTTTGCGGATGCGGCGGATTCGGTACGTGAACCATCGGCGGATGCGCTGGGTGAGACGATGAGCTCGAGTGTCACAAGACGTGACTATTGTGACTTACCTTATTGAGCGACTTCACTCGAGCATTCTTGCGCTCCTCCTGCTCTGCAGTGAGTGTTTCCTTCGGAAGCACCGCAGATGGATCCCAGTCTGTTAAAATTGGCTCCTCGTGGTCTTCTGTCGTCCAAGGGACGCGTGCGTGATACTCCTTGCAGACCAGTTTCCAGTATTTGCGCTCCTGTCGCCACCCTTTGTCCAACGCCGCGCCGTAGTCATCCAGGTGAGGACTCAGGATACTCTCTCGAGCCCCTTGTGCCCAAAGGCGCAAATTCTTTCTGTCTTTTTTCGGGACGCCCTTTCGCTCGCGTTTTTTGGACGACTTCGGCATAATCCTGGCTTCCCATTCTCAGTGTCTGCCGTGTTTTGGCACCTCAAGGGAAACTCACCTCTGTGTCTTTGCTGTTACGATTTATTGGTCGATGTAATTTGTTTGGAAGAGATCGTGTTTGTTTGTTTGCACATTCGCGGTCATTTCGGATTCAGTCAACTTCACTGATCCTGACACGCGTTTAGATCTTAACACGAGCCCCATTCAACCATTACGGCGAACTTCAAGACTCCTCCGCCCTATAAAAGCTACCCCTCCCACTCTGATCTCGTTAAACCCCCAACTTTTTACCACAATGACCAACTTTCCACAACCCTCTTCTGGAACAGCCTCTGTTCCAGTAGCGGCCTTTGCTTTCCCCCCCAACACTGACCGTACGTCCATCTATCTCACTTTCTCCCCCAATGTTAATATTCCCTCCTCTAGCCGCCGCTATCGCCAATTTCCAGAACCTGTGGGCCGCTATGACCGCGCTTTCCCAAGGCCAAGGTGATTCTCATGCTCCCTCCTTATCATAGGATCTCACCCATGTTCTCAGCGCCTGCCCCTGCGCCCGCTCCAGCGCTCGCGGCCCCAGTTCAGACAGCTGCACCCCCGGTTCCGACAACTGCGCCCGTCGTTCAAAGCCCCGCTCCTGCTGCGCCCGTCGGATTTCGCACCCGCGGCCCTTGGGTCGCGGGTGCGTTGTATACGGTTGTTCCCACTGCCCCCCTCATGCCCATCGCGGAGGACGAGCACGTCGGCGAGGACGCGTCTCCCTGGTATGCAATTACGCGTGGTTTGTATGTCGGCGTCACCCTCAGCAACGCTCTCGCCGTCAACGCCGTTGTTGGCGTCCGCGGCAGCGGCATGAAGGGCTACGCCACTCAAGCCTTGGCGCTCGCAGCCTTCAACGAGCTGCTCGCCTACAATATGGTGGCCGTGATCGCCCAGCACTGATGAACGGCAAGTTTTTCACGCGTTCTTTTTCGTGTTTCGTGTACTTATCAATCATAGATCTCCCCTTCCTGCCCTTAAATCACTCTGACCTGTATTCCTGTCTTAATGTCGCGTAGTTCGTAGTTCACCATGTACTGCCGTAGTGTTTGATGTGAATGGTCTATGAGTGTGGCATATCGTGTCAGTAACGTAACGTCCAAAAAAATCAATTGCCTGGTTAACCCCATAATAACCATCCACGGATCAAAATCCAAATGAGCAGATCTACGGACTCTTTCCCACCAGATCTCTTTCCAGATCTCTCTCTCCCCATACGACCCTTCCCTTGGCCTTCAACTTCAACCTCAAGGCTTCAACCGACCCGAGATCTGGACTCAGCCTAGTATCGGTGCGTTGTGATCGCACCCTTTCTCATGTCACTGGTACTTAAAAGTTATATGTCTCCCTCTTCCTTCACCGTGAGCACTTCTCGCCCACTTTTGATTTGCAAGCCATGACAGCCCTCGATAGCTCAGACGAGTACAACGACGAGGAGTTCGCCAACCTCATTGCCAGCCTCGACCTAGGAAACGGCCCTTCGTCGGCCGCCACGCCTCCGCCTCGCACTCCACCGCGTAACCCTCCCGCCTATAGCGCCAGCGCTCCTCGCACCCTCCCCTCTTCCAACTCACGCAGGCTTACACCTGCCACGACTGCATTATACTACTATGAATCCCCCACGAGGTCTGGGTACACCACGCAATGGTACTCGGCCTTTTTTTGTACTTGAGTGGAATTTTTTGCTGACGATCTTACAGGTCCCGCGCAGGCAGTGCGACTCAAGGGGTCCCCGGTGCCAGTGTCCGCGTTGAGCGCGCCACTTCCTCCCCGACGACCAA